AAAAAAAAAAAGAACTTGGCCGATATCCAGCCATCTTGACCTCACACTTGGTCAATAGCCCATATATATCGCCTGCTGGTGATTCCATTATTTTTTAATTTCTCATTATTCTCTCAAAGCCGTATTTCAAAATAGAAACCAACACGAATAGGCCATTTCCGAAATACCTTAAGCCTCTTCCTCAAAGCGAATCTTGGTGCCCTCCTTTCATATGAAAATGGGATTTCATTCACATGCAAGTTTCACTGATTTTCATATGAATGGCCTCGCCTTGCTTAACAGAGAGGCTTAGGTCATAGCACTCATATAACAACAATCCCCTCATCAGCCCTCCTATAGCAACAAACCCCGAGTCAATTGAAAACATTGTTGGCCAGCACGAGTGTGAAATGATATCAAGTCATCCTCTCTCAATTTACAGGAACGTACTTCGATCAAAGCCAAAACTCAAGCATTCAACAGCCCACTACTGCTATCTCAACGAATGTAAAGGTTGGCATGACGTTAGCATATGCAGTCATTTTCATCGTTGCTTTGTCGGGCAACTCTTTTGGTTTGTTCGTGGCTTCAAAGAAATCTCTGTTCAACAGTGTCACAAACCTATTTATCGCCAACATGGCCGTTGCAGATCTGCTATTGACTGTCACAGCTATGCCTTTTAGTGTGACTTTCTTCTACCTTAGGGACTCTTGGTTTGGAGGAACACTGGGTACTATCACGTGCAAGGCCATGCACTACGCCATTCGCGTTTCCATAGCAGCGACCGTCCTAACAATGACGCTGATCTCATTCGACAGGTTTTGCGTTGTATTCTATCCCCTGAGGGGAAAGTTTTTCCGAAAACCGAGAATCGTGTCAGCAATAATTTGGGCTTTGTCTTTCATTTTAATGACCCCAACTCTTCTTTTCTATAAAGTTACAGTTATTCCGCGCGAGAATGCGTACGAACGCGTATGTCGGGGAGACGCTTGGCTCAGCAGTCACTCACGTAAGATCTTTCACATCTGCCTCTTCTGTATACTGTATGCGTTCCCTTTGATGGTAATGGCAGTCCTTTACGTCTTAATTTGCCGCAAGTTATGGCCTCGTAGGATCCCAGAAAACGTGTCAGGAAAAAGTCGAGCCGTTGTCGAAATGTCTAAACGCAAAGTTGTGCGACTGTTGATTGTCATAATCATTGAATTTGCGCTTTGCTGGTTCCCATCATATGTCAATCACTATTTTTTGTTCATTCAACCTGAACATGGGCATAAATTACTAGCGGAAGTTCAGTACGTGTTTTTTTGGTTAGCGCATGCAAACAGCGCCATAAATCCGTGTCTTTATATCCTGGTTTGCTTTACGCCGGCTCACAAATTTGCCGCGGTTTCAAGGAGCACGAGCTGATCACGTGCGAGTGGAAAGTTCATGTTGTAGTTTCACCAAGGAGTTAGTGAGTTTTACTCGCCCCAGTTTTGACCCACAGTAAGTGACACGTTTTCCTCCAATCGGAAAACGTATTCGAGTTGGGAGGTATAACAATTCATATTAATTCAAGCTGAGTAATTTTGTTGCTATAGCAACGTCCAATTTATTGTGTTTTTGAAGAACAAACTAAACATTGTGTGAAACAACTTCTAACCTTCTAAAGTCAGTGAGGGATACCTTCTTAAGTCTTCAGGTAAGAACTTTTTAAACAAGAAAGCCTGTTTATTATTATGAAACTAAATTAACTAGGGCAACCGTTAGAAATCAAAAGCTATTCTAAACGAAGAAAGAAGGTGTAGTAATCATCAAGCATATTGTTCCATCTTGATATATTGAGATGATATCAATTTAGTATCCAAGCGTTCAAAAGCCACATGTGCTTTCAACAGAAGAGTAATGGAGATCCGAAAGTGTTGCGCAGTACCAGGATAAAAAGCAAGAGAAATAGTTCAAGACTGCACATGCACCAAGAGGCCAAAAAATTGTGACCTCTCAAGCGAACACGATGCTAACGGCTAGCCGTTCGTTCGCCGTTCAAACGAGATGGGCCACCGTTCGAACGGCTCGAGCTACATCAGACATCGCGTATCAGTTCAGAAAGTATTGTCATCCCTTCGAACGGCTCGAGCTATCCGTTCAAAAAAATATTGTCATCCGTTCGAAAGGCTCGAGCTATCCCTTCCAAAACAATCGTCAACCGGCTTTTCGAACGGCTCGTTGCAATTCGTTCAAAAACACAAGACGTTATTCGTGCGAAAAAAAAAAAAAACATTAGCTGTTCGAGCTAGTGCAATCCGTTCCAAAAAATTATCCTGCCTTCTGCTTAGCTACTAAGCTGAAGTGTGTGACTAATGTTTTCGAGTGCAGCAAACTTTAAGTTAATCCGTTCGTTGGCTTTGTGTCAGAATTGATCACCAGACATAAAATAAAAAGTTTTCTTCGTGACAAAAAAATATCTCAATAATCTTGCTTCAGAGAAACAAATCGACCAAACAAATTAGGGAGAAATTATTTTTAGCGGAAGTCGATAGTCAAACTGCTTCCTTTCTCAAATATAAAGTACAATTTGGAAAGTCCTGCTACAAAGTCGAACTTTTCTCCAGGTACACTTCCTCTATCAATGAAGAGCAGGAAAACTACCTAAAAAGTAGTAGAGCTAAGGTTGTTGAAAACAAGGATTGAAACGTCAGCCCACCAAGTTAATTTTCTTAAAATTAAAAACAAGAAAATACGGAAATGTCAGCAATGTTCACTTCTTTTGACGATAGGTTAAAAATCGTTAAAAATAGCCTTTCTTAATAGTCAAAAAGCAAGCAACACGCCAGAGTTAAGTATTTATAACATTCAGACCGGGCTTTTCTGTTCTTTCTCTGAAACCGAAAAAGTGCAGTTATCTATGAAAGCGGATGTTACTGCAAGAAAGCCATTTTTTCATTAAAAACCAGACAGTGTGGAACTGACAGTTCTTTCATTAAAAACAGGAAAATTCAAATTTTGCAAACACACCGGTCGACATGTGGTTGCATGGTAACATCATGTTCCTCGACCAATCAAATTAAAGGCATCGAAAGTTTTATGCCAACCCTCCCGGACTCAATAGAGTTACTTAACAGGGAATCAAGAAAGCCATGGCCCATGACACTGACGTGAGTCATAACTGTCACAGTTTGCGACAAAATTCACACCCACAGCTCTTGACTGACGTAGTCCACTACATTAACTACACACTCGCCTTAGAAATTGAGAAGGATATCTTCTTATCTTCTTCAGTCTTAAGGTAAGAGCTTTTCAAACAAGAAAGCTTCTTTATTATCAAACTTAAACTAAGGGAAATGTTACGAATCAAAAGCTATTCTGAACGAAGAAAGATGATGTAGCTCAGTGTCCAAGCATATTGGTTTCATATACCGGAGATGATATCCGTTTAGTCTTCAAGCGCTCAAGTGCCAAGTGATTTTTGAACAGAGATCCGGTATTAAGAGCCAATTTCTCTAATTGGCGAAAAAGAGGCGGCAGCTGGGACATTTCCAAATACGGTGAGTTTCTTTTAGAAAATACCATATTCAAAGGTTCTGAAGCGCTTTAAATTTTGCGAAATCGAGGTAAGTTCGAAAATCCCAGTTTTAGCTCCCAGCCACAGCCGAAAATGGCGCAAAATCATGCATTTTCCTTTTGATTGTACAGATCAAGGCGGTGATATCTATAAATGTGCTTTGGGTAAATCATAGTGCATGTCTCGCTGTTTCTAAAGCATTAATTTGGTTTAAAAAAGCTGCAATTTTTTTAATAATATTTAAGGCCGATCCAAATGCCGTAATCGAAGCTTTTCAGCGAAAGGGCTAATTTGAAAACCATCAACAGCCCACTGGTACATTAAACTTGAAGTCGAAACTAACATTTTCTTACAGCAATCCTCTATATTCTGTCGTGTGAAAATATCTTCCGCAGCTTCGAGAGACATAATCGTAAACTGGTGGTACATTCGTTCGGTGTGAAACGAACACGGAAATTGCCCAGTGTCTTGCATCAAGAACGAAAACTGACTGCGAATGAAAACCTTTTTCTTTATTGTGAATGCTTCAAAATTGTTTTTTGTTATATTCCATTGAGACTGACAGCACCAATACAAAACCATCCATAAGTTGAGAGACCGAAAACGTAGTGCATACGTTAGTAGGTTCATTCCGAAGTTTGCACCAGTTGTATGTGTATTACATATGAAACAGGAAAATGTGGAAGTGTCAGTTATTTCATTTAAGACAGGATCACCCGTCAAAGTGCAGTTGCCAT